AGTCTAATCAAAGTTTGCTAATCCACGAAAGTGTACCGAAGAAAAGTTTATACACCAAAGTACAGGCTATTTTTCTTACTACAGACAAAATTTCACCAAATAAAATCCTTATTTATTCTCCGTGCTATCAACTACTGCATTATGAGCTCATCAGTTTATTGTTTCTATTGTTCTAATTTTATGTTTATGATTGAAGATGTAATGATGTTTTCAGACCAGTACAGTTTTAAACTATTGCGAACAATCACTCGGTTGAAAGTACGCTTAGAAATTGCTCTGAAAAGTTGCAGACATATTTTTAGTTTCTATTTTTAAACAATTTTACGATACCAACTGGAAGATGAGAAATGAGGTTGCAGTTTCATTTTTCTTCTGTATTGGAATTGTTTCCGGATATATAGTTCCCTCAAGCATTATTAAGGTAAGTTATATAGTGATTGTACGGGTTTTATAAATTATATTAATATCAGCAGTAAATTATAATTTTAAAAGCGAAGGTCTAAATATTTTTATTAAAAACTGGTCTTTAAAAATACTTTTTTGACTTGTATTTGTAAAAAAAGTGGCAAGAAACTCACAAGTAGACTGTTATTCTCTTAACAGTTATAATTTAACCTTATAAATATTATTAATAAGCAAAAATTGCTTACTCATTATACCCACGCATTCTTCATTAACTTTTAAATAGTCATCTAATTTATAACATCATTTCTTCCTAAGAATGCTTTCAATTTGTGTAAAGGAAAGTTGTTTACAAACGTTTTACTGTTGTTATTAGTTACTGCTGTGCGTTCGTCTCGCAGAAACACGAAAATGGCTTGACTGATGTTGATGAATTTTTGTGTGTGCATTTGAGTTGGTTCCTGAATGGTTTTATATCTCAATTGGACCCGGTATGTGGTACTGTTGACAGCATCTAAAAATCACCCGTGCAAAGCCGGCGCAAATCGCTAGTCTTGTTATAATTTTTTTTAAATAAACTATGCTAATTTTAATTTAGTTAAATTTTTTTTTTGGAAGGGCCTGTGTAGAGATTTATTCAGCGTGTTAAAATTATTGATATCACTCATTTTGTCATAAGTATTAAAATTTTAAATAGTTTCTTACATAAATAGTATCTAGTATAATATATATATATATACATATATATATATATATATATATATATATATATATATATATAATAATTTAATTACTGTCGCACAATAAGTCTTGTTTTTAATATCATCTTGAAAGGCCTTCACTTAAGCAAGGGACTACTTTATAAAGAGCATATAAGGCATTCTTCAAGAAATACCACAAAACAAGGTCCTTGGCCACCCGCGTCCATCAACGTCACATGTTCATGTCCATCATCATGAATGACACTGCATCTAGTGAAGGCTATAATTCCGCTTACTGGTGAGGTGCGAGACTATCACACGAGAACATTTGAACCCTTAGAGTTGTCGGTCTTACGAGCATTATGGCTTGCCCAAAGTCACTTCAGCTATCTAGTACGATCTGAATCGGCAACCGATGGGGAAGAAAGGTTCTTGAGTGGCAGCCTCGGTACCGGTAAGCGAAGTGTAGGACAGCCCCTCACTAGATGGAGTGACAACCTGGTAAGGGCAGGAATTTGATAGATGCATGTGGCTCAGGCCTTTACTTAAAAATTGCACAATACACGGTATTGTGCAATTTTTAAGGAAAACCTTTGTTCAGCAGTAGACTTGCAAACGGCTGTAATGATGACTATGATGAAACCACACGCGTCAGACGGTGGTTAGTTACCATTGGGTAAAGCATATACTTGTTTGCCTTCTCTTCTATGTAAAAAAGATAAAATTGAACATCAATTAGCAGAAAATGTCATCATACCCTAAGTCTATAAGGTGCGAATATTATCGGAAGTAAGCTGTTTGTACTTTTTACGCTTAAACCAACAAGAAAGAAAGACAGAGCGTTTCGTATGTTTCAAATGATGCAACTACCAAGCCAAAACTAGGCTCATCTTATTTTAAGAACACGTTAGACAGCTGCGAAGAACAAATAATTTGCAACCATTAACACGTTCCCCGCGGCACTGATTTATCTGTACTTTTCATTACTGCGTTACGAGACGTTTGAAACCTCGTTCTGAACCAGAGGTTGTAGCGGCACGAGGCTTAATAAACCCCATCGCCCACATGAGACAAAAATCCTTTTTTTGGCGCCAAATAAAACGAATTGTGTGGTTTTTGTCGCGATTATCATTAAGAATGAGTTGATTAACCTAAATCTGCCACCGCCTGTAGGCGGATTATTCAGTTTAGATTCTATAGGTAAAATAAAATGTGGGGTCTTATGTACCCCATACCGCACTGAAAAAGGGCAGTTTTTCATATTGTTTAGTGATGGGAAAAAATATCGATTTTATTTAATTGTACTTACGGATGCTTTTTATTAAAACAGGGCAAACAATAATATTTTTGCAACCGATACATTCTGCGAGAATTTTCTTTGCTATTTTGTCAGCCTCACGACTTGATAAGAAGGTGCGAAATTTTTCGTAGCATCCTACACATCTCATTTTCTTTGATCCTTTTTCGAGATGATGTGGATTGTTTGGAGCGGGTTCTGAAAAAAAAACTGATAGTGTATTTTTGAAGCGGGTTGATTAGGTGTAGCGATTTATTGGAGCATTTCTATACATAAGTATGGGATCGTTACGGCCTGTGTGTGTTTTGCTTTTGTCAGTTGAATTTAATTTGTATATTCCTACATAATTATTTCACTTAGACTGAGTATAATTTGTAAATATTGATTGGAAACTTACCTGTTTTTCAAATATCGTTAATTTAGAATTAGATTTACCACCCAATTCCTCTTCATCATCAATAATATTATTAATTAACTTTCTTCGGCAACGTTTCGACATCTTATTATATCGTCGCGGGTGCAGCGTTCAACGTTTTACACAACACTAACCGCGTAAAGCTAGCGTAGGGTGCGGTACGAAGTGTGCGGGGTACGAGGTGTTCGCAACCTCGTAACGCACTGTTTTAAACTTTAATTTATTCAGTGCGGTACGAGGCCTAAAAAAATCCGGTATTAAGGTAGATATACCAAAAAACTCGGCATCAATAGCACATCTCAGATATATAGTTATCTCTTTCCTAGACTGAAGCAAACGGAAGTTACGCCTCTCGCACGACAGAGAAGTTTAAGTTTTTCCTTACCGCTATAACGACGAGACACGGACGAGGTGTTTCAAGCCTCGTTTCGCAGTCAACGTGTTAATATGGTTTTAGGTGAGTGTGTGCGTCTGTAAACTTTTACTGAATGATAAAAAAAGAAAGAAGAAAGATGTGTGCGTGGTTGTGTGTCAAGAAGCTTGACACAAAAAGCAGAGCATAGTTCGTTGGCATCCCTTGAAATGTAAGCAGTGCTCCGTCTATATATGTTAGCCTGAGTTTTTACGTAAAAATATATTTTGTATTCTGATACACAAACGTAGCACGGGACTTTTATTTATTATTATTATTACATCCCTTTACAAGTCCACCCCACAGTCTCCCCCAAGGTATGCCACAAAGCTCGGTTCTGAGCCACCTGCATCCATCGACTTCCTGCATGTCTTACCAGGTCGTCACTCCATCTAGTGGTGGGTCACCCTACACTTCGCCTACCGGTACGAGGCTGCCACTCGAGAACCTTTTTTCCCCAACGGTTGTCGGTTCTTCGAGCTATATGGCCGGCCCATTGCCACTTCAGCTTACTAATCCGTTGGACTATGTCGGTCACTCTGGTTCTACTGCGGATATCCTCATTTCTAAGTTTATGATTAAATTTCAAAATCATTTTTATTTAAAATACATTAAAAATCGTATTAATTTTCATTCTAATATTTGTGGAAAGGGAAGACTTTTTGTAAATAATTTGGTATTTATATATGGTTGATCTGTGTAGTGGCGGTGTAAGAATATCCACTACCCTATATCACCCCGAGGGTGTCGATGAGGCGACAGAGGGAAAGAAATCGGGGGATGGACAGCAGCGTCTTTCTTAGAACGACAAAAATTGCGGTTGCCAGTCCGCCTGCCAAGCTTGGCGACTATGGCAAATATCCCCCCATGAGGTAATCTATGGTGAGGTCTAAATTTAAAAATAAAAAAAATATGAAGGAATTGTTACTTTGACAATATATTATGAAGATAGCGTTTTATTTTAAGCTACTACTTCTACGTATATTCGCAATACTTGCTCCAGTAAAATTCAATCGGACTTTTTTATTTTATGTATGTTTTTTAATATTTTGTACTTTTGTGTTTAAGTAAATAAGTATCTATTAGCAGAAAATGACCACATGTTACGATATTACACATGTAACAAAGTAAAAGTTGATAATTAGTAAATTAAATATAAATAAACAGCAAATTGTTTAAAGTACAGGCTTCTAATAAAAATTGTTTGAAAATTAATGAATAAACACTTGTGGGAATTGTAGTATCGGTTATATTGGATTTATAAATACTAAAAAAAAATGAAAACATTTTTAACATTTGTTTCAGATTACAAAACAAGAAAAGGCACAAAAAGGAATAAATTTGGGACCAACTGAAAGAGGAGATATAAAGTTTTTTCACGAAACCTCAAATCTTGAGAATTCAAAAAATAGCATTGATGAATCAGAAATATTGAGTCAAGGTGCAGTAAATCCGAAAAATATAAACGAGAGATCGTTTATATTTATACGCCAAAAGTTTAAAACACCCATGCTTAACTTATTTCATTCACAAATGCAAAATCCCAATGAAATTCTGCATGACTTACCAAAGTCTATAATAACACATTCACATAATACTGGTTTTGAAGAATTAAGTCAAAGGTTTATAACAATGAACTTAGTTACCCCTGCAAAAGAAATCGTAGATAGTTATAGAATCTCCAAAGCACTTGATAAAACTCAGGGTATATTATTTACCAATTTATGTAACGACAAATTCAATGTCCGACAAGATAATAAAAAGTATATAACAATGAATAAAACACCAGAAACAAAAATTCAAGACGTAAACAATGTTTCAAATGTACAGCGCGAATACTTGGAACTACTCAAAACGCCATTGCTGCGGTCGAATAACAATGATGAGGAAGTAAAGCAAGCACTACAAGAAACTGAACCTCAGTCATCTGAAGCTCCAAGTACACAACTGCGTTTGCATAATCACAACACAATTTCAAAAATATCATTGGACTTAAGACAAAGTTTGGTGAAGAAATATAATACGGAATATTCACATCCCTATGAATCCAAACTTACTTTTTTTAAGAGCGAATCAGCTAATCAACATGAGCAACGTGACAGCACATTTATTTTAGATGATGATATTGGTGGGAAAGTTATGGATGGAAATATCGACGACGATCAGGGTTGGGATCAATATTTAAAAAACGCGTTAGAAGAAAAGTCAGATGACAGAAAGGAAGTTCCTCAGGATCACACAGATAGAATCAAATATTGTCATGATTGTAACACTCAAAGTATTAATAAGAACACCAATAACCGATTGCAAATTGAGTCTGATTGTAAATGTGCTCGTCACGTATATTTAAGAGGCCGTCAAAATTCGGATGATCATGATAAAAATATGAAGTCAATTTCTATTTTACCATCAGATAAGCGACAGACAACAGCAGGTTTAGACAACAAAAACAAAGAAAGTAAAGAAGATAAAACTGTCATTGATGTAACGATACCAACTAATCCACTTTTTAACTAAATTTATATGCTAATATACTTGAATCAGTTCTTTTAAATTTTATTTTACTAAACGAATGCATTTTATTAAACACATTTTATGAAAATTAATAAAAATAACTTTTATGTTACTTGATAAAAACAATTTGGTTTTCTATAATATACTTTTTCTGCGGAAATATTTTTGTTTTAATATATAATGAAAAGTATACATTTTCTAATCATTGATAGCCCAATGATAAGATATTGGGGGAGTAAAGTTTAAACACGTAAATCAAGAGACTGGCCTTTTTTATAGGATATGTTGACAAACGAGCATCTACGTGATGGTAAGTGGGTTCTGTGGCCATACACATTTACATCTATCCTCGATTACGAATCAATATGTGGACGCGTTGTCACTAAGATGGAAATCTCGTGGGGACTAAGATGGATACCTCGTTTCCAGTAAAAAGGTTCTTCAGTTACTCCAGTATTCCAGTAAACTCACCATAAGAAACATAGTAGCACAAAACTGGTGTTTTGTGAGACCGTGACCCTTTCCCGGTCAAAACGATCCATTTGTGCTACAACTATACTATCAAATATAACCGCAGCATGGCTCTACCACGTGCATAATTTACGTTTGACTTGTTTCGGTTTTATAACCAAAAATGGTCTTAATAACTATTTAATATTTAAAAATAAACGTAAGAAGCTGCAGGTAAAAGCGTATGCAAAAGTAAGTTTTCAATAGCAAAGCGTCAGGCGTGTGATCATGATAAGAAGTCCTCAAAGCTATCGCGTTTGAGATCGTTGCGCGCGCATTCCCCTTCTGACTACAGCGTTTGTTGCTCTGAGAGATGAAATGTAAACAGTGTGCAATGGCTACAGATGTCCAGATAGCCAATAGAGTTTCCAAAGAAATATAGCAAGGCCAGAAGTGGTTACTTCAAAACTGATATAATCTATGTTTACACTTTGTATGTTTTATTTCTTTGAATTTGAATATGTCAGACTTTATTTTATCAGATAATAGGTGATAAATCATTTAATAAAAACAAAAATAAATATACTTCTCCGAATTTAATGGTACATCTAGTTTCTGTAATTCTGGAAATTTCAGAGCCATATTTGTTGAAGGAGATGACTTTGCTCGGACTCGGACATTGTTAGAAAATATTTACACCTTCGAGTAGTCTATTTTCGATGTTACGATTGCGTTTGTTTATATTTGTGTTAGACTATCAGAGTGTTATTTAATAAAAAAAAATAACTTTAAAGATGTTTTTGGTATTTATGTTTTGCTAACATAAAATAAAATACTATTTCTTAAATATATAGATTATAGAATTACCTTTTTAGGAGATGTTTCTTCGTTATAACAATAGAGATAAGCAAATATTTGTGAGCGTATAGTTCAAACTTTTATTAATAAATTCATCAGTATTTATTTATAATATATATATATATATATATATATATATATATATATATATATATATATATATATATATATATACCTCACAGAACACCAGTGTAAAATAGTAATGCTGCTGTGTTTCGTATGGCGATTGTGGAAAACCTTAAAATATGTGTGTAAATATCACTGTCATATCTGATGACACAACATTGATGGTAAGGAACAAATTAAGAACAAAATTCATTGGCTAAAATTATTAATAAAATCTAAAGATAACTACTGGAACCAATAAAATAATGAAAATAAGAATACTCCTAAAATAAAAGCCTTAATTATTCCTTATAATAATAAATATCTCATTAATTTCCTCAATATTAAAAGGGATAAGCATTTAAATAAATTTTTATAATAAATTTTTAATAATAATCAAAAAATTTAAAATTTATATTGTTTATAAATTATAATTTTTTATTAATAATTTTAATTACATTAAATTTTGTCTATTTTTTATTAACATACTTTATAATAATTTAAATTTAGATATAATAATAAAATTAGCATATAGTAAAATAAATATAATTTATTAATTAAAATTTCCTAATTCACTTGTATATCAAAACATGTCTTTTAGGTTAATAATTTAAAGTCTAATCTGCCCACTGATAATATAGTAAAGGGCTGCAGTATTTTGACTAGGTAGCATATAGGTAGCATAACACATTTTCTTTTATTTTTTCAAAATTGTAATGAAATATATTTAGATTAAGTTTATTGCATATTAATCTTAAAAAATCACTTTAGTAGTTCAGCGCTTAACCGCTCGCCATGAATTATACAGTAAGCGAGGACTCCGGGTTTGATTCACGCCGCACCAAATGTAATTGTTGAGTTGCAGTCTTAAACCAACAGTTTTGCAGTGGTAAACCGATTATTTGTCTTCTAATTCTTTTTGTGGGTTATACCACCCAAAAGGCAACAATAATTAAGGTCAGACAGATCTTATAAGCCATAAAGATCTTTCTGACAGATAAATAGCAGCATATTTATTTTGTTTACGCTGCACGTAAAACACGGGTACCAGGATAATAGTTGTGAGAAGTCTGGAATTGCTGTGTCCATTCCGCATGCTAAGGAACTATTATGGGTTATTTAAGAAGAACGTTAAGAATTTCTGTACATAATATAAAGGAATAAAAAGTGTTGTAATACACGTATATATCTACATATTTGAAAGCATCTATGATATTGAAGTTTTGTTCATCAACATTTTTGCATAACATAAAAACAAATCAAGCAACAGTCTGAACGTAAAGCTTAACAAACCAATTTTTAAACATATACATTACTATAACATATGTATATACTATATAGCTGGTATCCGTCGCGTTCTTGCTGCAGAAAAAATGTGGAAATATCATTTGAAAGTCACCGGCGGCCCCGATATTCCTGGCTACGGTGGCGACCATGGTAACGGCGGGGCTGGGGGTGCTAAGAATCTCCGGTGGAGATTCGGTCGCCACCTACGACGACTCGACCTGGCAACATATAACGCACGCACCCTGAGGACCGACAAGAAGATACTGGGGTTGGAAGAAGAGGTAGACAAGTTGCGCTGGAATATTATTGGATTATCCGAGGTCCGAAGAGAGGAGGAAGACACGGTAATCCTAGAGTCCGGCAACTTGTTCTATCACCGGGAGGGCGACCATCTGTCCTAAGGAGGTGTCGGATTTATCGTCCACAAGTCTCTCGTCAACAACGTTGTAAAGAGGGGGAGTGTGTCGACAAGGGTCGCGTACCTGGTACTCAGAATCACCAAACCGCTGAAGGTCATACAGGTTTACGCACCAACCTCGACACATCCCGATGAGGAGGTGGAGGAAATGTATGAGGATATTTCTAGAGCCATGCGTTTAATACTGCTCGTAATCGCTGGAAGACCTAAGAACTATGCTCAATGACCTCAATAGTGTCTCCCAACGGATAGGTCTTAGGATGAACAGGGACAAAACAAAAATCATGTTTAATGTCAATGTCACACCTATGCCGGTCGTTGTTGGGAGCACTAAGCTCGAAGTTGTTGACGAGTACGTTTACCTGGGACAAATAGTCCAACTAGGTAAGTCCAACTTCGAGCGAGAGTTCAATCGACGGATTCAACTAAGCTGGGCAGTGTTCGGGTAATTACGACACATCTTCTCGTCAGGTATACCTCAAAACCAGAAAACTAAGTTGTACAACCGGTGCGTGTTGTCAGTGATGACCTACGGAACCGAGACGTGGTCCTTCACTGCTGGCCGTGTGAGGACGCTCAAAGTCGCTCAGCGAGCTATGGAGAGGGCTATGCTCGGGGTTTCTCTGCATGATAAACTTAGAAATGAGGATATACGCAGTAGAACCAGAGTGATCGACATAACCCAATGGATTAGTAAGCTGAAGTGGCAATGGGTCGGCCATGTAGCTTGAAGAACCGACAACCGTTGGGGAAAAATGGTTCTCGAGTGGCAGCCTCGTACCGGTAGGCGTAGTGTAGGGCGACCCCCCACTAGATGGAGTGACGACCTGGTAAGACATGCAGGAAGTCGATGGATGCAGGTGGCTCAGGACCGTGCTTTGTGGTATATCTTGGGAGGGGCCCACGTTCAGCAGTGGACTTGTGAAGGGCTGTGATGCTGTGATTAATAATGATGATGATGATCATTTGACAGCAAGAGTTATATTGTTTACTTTAGGAGTGATAATAAATTCATTGAAAGTGAATAATCTTTATATACTAAAAAACCAATTGCTGTCCATTAGTCTCGCAAAATCTCGAAACTGGCTCGAACGATATTGATGAATTATTTTGTGTGTATTTGAGTGGGTCACTGGATGGTTTAAAAGCTCCGTTAGACCCGGTAGTCGGCGATGCTGTAATCATTCGTGCAGAGGCGTTACGGGTTAACTAAGAAGAAAATAAAGTAATTCTGTATAAAATATAGAGGAATAAAAAGTATTGTATTACACGTACATCATATGTTTGAAAATATCTATATGTAGCGACGTTATCAACATTTTTGCATAACATAAAAATAAGCGTAGAAACAAATTGTGAGACAAATCAAGCAACAGTCCGAACGTAAAGCTTAACAAACCCATTGTCAAACATATTCATTACTATAAAATATATGTACTATATAGCTGGTACCCGTCACGTTATTGACGCATAAAAAATGTGAAAATTTCATTTTAAATTTGGAAGAGTTATATTGGTTATTATATAATACGTGACCGATTTTAATGAATTTTGTTGTGTATTTGAGTAGGTCACTGGATGGCTTAAAAGCTCCGTCAGACCCGGTAGTTGGCGCTGCTGTCGAGATACAGAAATCACTCGCAAAAAGGCGGGGCTGATTTTTAAAATAAATTTGTCGGTACGATACGCGCGCCACCTACTGAAAGTTAGTTGTACTATCCCAATAACCTTCGCGCAAATGCAAGCAATAAGTTGACAAAGTTTACGTCCAATCTGACGTTATGGCTGCGCATAAAATACGAACAAAGAAAAATTATTTTTTATAAATAACTTTTACGTTTTTATTCAGTGCGAACGCAAAAAACAACAAATCTTAAAATTTGTC